CTTGTAGAATGATCCTCTACTTTTCTTATCTTTTCTATAGTCTATCCATCTCTTTGTCTTTTTATCCTTTTTTTGGGGGGGGGGTAATTTCTGTGACTTTTTCTTTCAAACCAATTGCTTTTTTAATTTTTGCTGTCAAATTTTTTAATGTTTTTTTAGTTTCTTTTTTTGAGAGATACAGTGTGAGCAGGGGAGGGACAGAGAGAGAGGGAGAGACAAAATCCGAAGACAGGTTCCAGGCTGTGAGCTAGTTATCAGCACAGAGCCCAACACGGGGCTCAAACCCACAAACTGTGAGATAACTACCTGAGCCAAAGTTGGATGCTCAATAGACTGAGCTACCCAGGCTCCCCTGTTTGTTTATTTTTAAAAAATTTTTCAGTGTTTATTTTTGAGAGAGAAACAGAGAGACAGAGTGTAAGCAGGGGAGAGACACAGAGAGGGAGACACAGAAGCAGAAGCAGGCTCCAGGTTCTGAGCCATCAGCACAGAGCCCAACACAGGGCTTGAACCCACGAGCTGTGAGATCATGACCTGAGCTGAAGTCGGATCCTTTTTTTTTTAAATATTTTTATTTATTTCTAGGAGAGAGAGAGAGACAGCGTGACCAGGGGAGTGTCAGAGAGAGAGGGAGTCACAGGCTGAAACAGGCTCCAGGCTCTGAGCTGGCAGTCAGCACAGTGCCCGACGCGGGGCTCGAACCCACGAACTGCGAGATCATGACCCAAGCGAAAGTCCGACGCTTAACCGACTAAGCCACCCAGGTGCCCCAGTTTGTTTGTTTTTTTAAGTGTTTATTAATTTTTGAGAAAGAAAGAGCACACCAGCACATGTGTGAGTGGGAGAGGGGCAGAGAGAGAGGGGAACAGAGGATCTGAAGTAGGCTCTGTACTGACAGCAAAGAGCCTGATGAAGGTCTCAAACTCACAAACTGTGAGATAATGATTTGAGTCAAAGCTCAATGCTTAACTGACTGAGCCACTCAGGTGTCCCTGGATATTAATAGCTAAGACACTAAAATTGATTAGAAGCTCTATGTCAGTGTGTAAGCGTGTCAAGTAATGAGCATCCCTTTCAGGGTGACCCAGCCATTTCTTTGGGCATCCTAACCATCAGTATTTTTGAGACTTTTCTTTTCTCTTGGGCAGGTCCACTCCCCAGAAAAGCAAGGCCTTATCTCATTTTGGAGGGTATAAGTTCAGCTACCTGCATTTAGGGGACTGAGTGGAAGATAGGAACTGGAGTTCTCACCATTTGGTGCGAAGAATTTTACTTCATCCTCCCTCAACTTGCCTGGCATCTGAATCCAGAGTTCCTTTAATTCTGCCCCTCCAAACATAAACTTCCAGTCATCAGCTGGGACCAGAAAGAGGCTGTGCTCTCGCTGCACTCAGATGTGTAGGAGGGAATCAACTAATTCTGTTTTCAGCTCCACCTACACCACCACTTTTATAGGCTCCTGGTACTTCCCATTCCTGAAACCTGTTGGAGTCTATAGCAAGATTGTTTGCTTTTTTTTTTTTTTTTTAATTTGTGAGAGAGAGAGAGGGAGAGAGAGTAGGGGAGGGTCAGAGGGAGAGGGAGACACAGAATCTGAAACAGGCCCCAGGCTCTGAGCTGGCAGCCAGCACAGCGCCTGATGCGGGGCCCGAACCCACAAGCTGCGAGATCATGACCTGAGCCGAAGTCAGATGCTTAACCCACTTAGCCACCCAGACGCCCCTAAGTTTGCTTCTTGGTTTTCCACCGCTAGCTTTGATTTCAACTTTCTTGGGCTGTCTGGTACTTCCGTTACCACTTTTTGATTTGCTTTCCTGCTTCCTAAATGTTGGCATTATTGTCTCGTCATCCAACCTTGAGAGTTATGCATTTTACTGTCTTCAGGGAGAAACAGAGACTATGTATATTCAGTCTGTCATGTTACACCAATATTCCCTCAGTGAACTATTGCCTTATGTTTTCTGAGACACCACTGGTCTCCAACCTCTCTGATCTTATTGCCTAATTTTCTTAACGGACTTACTCGGACTTACTCTCATTTGGTTCAATCCTTAAATATGGAGCGCTCCAGGGCTTGCTCTTGGCATCTAGGCTTCTTTACATTCCTTCTCTGGACAACCTCCTCTGTGTCAGGATTTAAATACCATCTACAGCCAAAGAAGACTTAAGCTCCCCGCCCTGGGCTCTGCCTAGTGGACCTCTCCTCCCCCATACCTTTAAGCATATCAAATGTAGCAGAATTCTTGATCTCCTACCTACAACCTGCTACCCACTAAAAGCTGCTCATTTCTTAGTCTTTCTGTTTCAGTTACTCAGGTCAAAACCTGGGAGTTATACTTTACTAATTATTATTATTATTATTTAAAGTTTTATTCATTTAAGTAATCACTACATCCAACGTGGGGCTCGAACTCATGATCCCAAAATCAAGAGTCACATGCTTATATGACTGAACCAACCAGGTGCCCCTGGGAGTTACCCTTGATTCCATTTTCTTTCACTCCCAAGTATATGTAAGTCATCAAGACCCAGCAAATCTACCTCCAAATATATCCAGAACCCATTCCTATCTGCCCACTGCTACCATCCAAGCCATCATTTTTTGCCTAGCCTCCTAGGATAGTCTCTCTCTCTTTTTTTTAAATAGATTAAAAAAAAATTTTTTTTTAAGAGAGAGAGAAAGACAGAATGTAGGTGGGGTAAGGTCAGAAAGAGAGGGAGACACAGAATCCAAAACAGGCTCCAGGCTCTGAGATGTCAGCACACAGCCCTACACGGAGCTCAAACTCTCAAGCTCTGAGATCATGACCTAAGCCAAAATCAGAAGTCCAACCAACTGGGCTTCTACATTAGTCTCTTAATGGCTCCTCTTGCTGTTATTTTTCCTTCCTCCTGCTTCTTCCTCCTCCTCCCCACCTATATACATTCTCTCCAGAGTAACTAAGGTAAACTTTTTGAAAGATGGATTATGCCACACTTTGGCTTGAAACTCTCCAAAAGCTTCCACTGCATTTACATAGCCCAGAATCTTTACTTTGGTTTACAAGGGCTTGTGTAATTTTATTCTTTCTAATTTCTTCAATCTCATTTTCACTCTCTCCCCCATACTCTAGCCATATGCTTTTCTGAATATGACAAATTCATTGCTACCCCTCGTATTTACAGGCTATTTTCTCTATCTGGAATGTTCTCCTTCTTGTTATTTAAACCTCAGCTTAACCTATGAATTATGTCACCTTCTCAGATCATCCCTAACTCCCAAGTCCTAGGTAGCTACCAAGTTATTCTATTTATATCACTTTCTTTTCATTCTCTGCCTAGCACTTAGTAGTATCTGACTTTTCTTTTTTCACTTTACTTGTTTACCTGTTTTGTCTCTCTCTCTCTCTCCTACTGGTATATAAGGTTTATGAGAACGAGGATCTTCTCTGTTTTGTTCAGATATATATTCCTAGCACTTAGAACGAGGCCTAGTATGTAGTCAGCCCTATTAACTTGGCCAGAGGAGAGAACACTGAGTTCACTGATAGCTCAGAGCCTGCTTGGGATTCTCTCTCTCTCTCTCTCTCTCTGTCTCTCTCTTGCCCCTCCCCTGCTCATGTGCATGCACGTGTGTGCTCTCTCTCTAAAAATAAACAAACATTTTTAAAAAGTATACCTATGAAATTGATAACCATATTGTGGTTATGTAGGAGAATATCCTTTTTCCTTAGAAAATACACACCAAAGAATTAAGGGATAAAGGGTGGTAAGTATGTATAACTTACCCTAATAGAGTTTATTTGTTAATTTTGAGAGTACAAGCAGGAGAGGGGCAGAGAGAGGAAGAGGGAATCCCAAGCAGGCTCTGCACTGACTCAAACCCTAAGATCATGACCTGAGCCTAAATCAAGAGTTGGAGGCTTAACCAGGTAAGCCCCCAAGTGCCCCATGAAGAAATTTTTTTTTTAATTTTTTTTAATGTTTTATTTCTAGGAGAGAGAGAGAGAGACAGCGTGAGCAGGGGAGGGTCAGAGAGAGAGGGAGTCACAGACTGAAACAGGCTCCAGGCTCTGAGCTGGCAGTCAGCACAGAGCCAGATGCGGGGCTCGAACCCACAAACCGTGAGATCATGACCTAAGCGAAAGTCAGATGCTTAACCGACTAAGCCACCCAGGCGCCGCAGGAAGAAATTTTTTATATACAGTGAGACATAGAGCTATATATAGAAAGACAGAAAAATACATGATAAAGCAAAGGCGGTAATATGTTAAGGATACTTGAATCTGGGCAAAAGGTAGATGTATGTTCTTTTTGTTTGCAAACTTTCCTAAATTTGAAATTATTTTCAAATAAAAAGCTAAAACAAAAGATTGGCTTTGGTAAACAATTGGATTAAAGTAATCTGGCTGATTAAGAAGCTACACATTATTCTCAAGAGACAATTAGTGCTGTGGAAACATCAGGGTTCCAAAACATAACCGAAGTTTCGTTCCCATGTAACTCATTTTGTGATCCCGGGAAAGACACCCAAACCCTCTCTGAGCCTCAGTTCCTCTGCCCTAGGAATGAAAGCAAATGAAAGATACTCAAATCAAATGAAAATGTATTTTTAAGCCTTTTCTGTTACAGTCCACCTCAGAAGAGGAAAGTGTGTAACGATAAGCAAGACTAGAGCCATAACGGCCTCTCACTTTTCATTTATCCAAGGCCGCTGGCTCAAACTGTCACTTTTCAGAGCCCCCCACCCCCCAGCCATTCTCCAGGCGAGCTCCCGCGGCCAACAAGCCAGGTCGGCGGCGCACAGCCTGCTCGCCTCTCCAGGTGGCAGCACAGCTGCCAGAGAGCCAAGGCCTCGCCCCGCCCCCTCTCGAACGTCTCCGCGGGATCGCCCAGGAAACGCATTCTCGGAGGAACAGGCAGCCGCCAATGGGAAGGGAGCGAGTGCCACGAACAGACCAATAAGGAGAGAGCAGCGCGGGGTTTAAACCTGAGGCTGGCCACCGCTCCTCCCGGCGTGCTGCGGAGGAACGGCTGTTGGTCTGCGGTGGGTTCAGGTCCTCGGCTCGTCGGTGTCTCCCGTGCTCTGCTTCTCCCCGTTGAGCTGCTGCCTGGTGAAGAGGAAGCCATGGCGCTCCGGGTCACCAGGGTGAGCTGCTGCGGACAATGAACAAACGCGGCTTTCCTCGCTCGCTGCGTGTCCTCGCATCCTCTGTCGCCTGCCGGGGCCCCTCGGGCGGACCGGGGCAGCGATTTGGGGAGGAGGATGGGGGGTGGGGGGATCGGTGGCCCCCTGGTACGGTGGGGGAGGGTGGGGGACCTACGGAGAGAGGAAGAGAACTGAGCCGGCCTTGGATAAGTGTTTAGCGCGAGAGGGGAGGGTGGTGAAAGGTTCACCGGAAACCTCTTTTAAAATGTGATAGAAGGTCCCCGAGGCGGCTCTCACCAACCGCGTAACCCCCCTCCCGGAGAGAAAATGCCTGCAATTGTAGGCTTTTCTATTTCCTCTCAAATGTAAATTCGTGGTATTTTAGGGTCGGCCGGGACTAAACCGACAACCCCTCTTTAGGTGAGTGAAGACGTTCTGGGAGGAAATTGACATGTTACAACCATGGGTAGATCCTGGAACCCCGCTTTCCTTTGGGAACCCTTTTTTTTTTTTTTTTTTTTTTTTTTTTTTTTACAGCCAACGTTTGTCCTGAGAGCCTCTCTCTTGCCCCACCTTAATTGACCCTTGACTTACTCCGACCTGATTGGGCCAGCTCTCAAAGTGGTCTTGCTTCTTTCAGAACACGAAAGTTAATGTTGAAAACAAGGGAAAGATCAGTACGGCAGGCGCAAAGCGCGTGCCTCTGGCCACTGCTGCAGCCTCCAAGCCGGGACTGAGGCCAAGAACAGCCCTCGGAGACATTGGTAACAAAGTCAGTGAACAGCCACAGGCCAAATTGCCTCTGAAAAAGGTAGCTATCTCTTCCCCATCCATCTTCTAAGAGCCCACCTTACAGCTGTGACCCTCGATGCAGAAACTTAGCATTTTCTTCTTTCATCCACAGGAAGCAAAAACTTTGGCTCCTGGCAAAGTTATTGCTAAAAAAATACCAAAACCTCTGGACAAAGCACCGGAGCCTGTGTCTGTACCTGTGCCAGAACCAGAGCCAGAACATGAGCCAGTTAAAGAAAAACTTTCTCCGGAGCCTATTTTGGTAAACTTACTTTGCTTTCCTCTAGGTTTGGTTGTTTCTTTCCCCTCATTTTATAACACATGGAATCAGAATTTGAACAAATAGTAATAATAGTAGCATTTATAGAGTTCTTAGCAGGAAGTAGTCTCTGCACTTCAAGTACATTTAACTTCCCGAATCTTTAAATTTTTTTTAATATTTATTTTTGAGAGAAAGAGAGTTGTGAGCAGGTGAGAGGCAGAGAGAGAGGGAGACACAGAATCCAAAGCAGGCCCTGGGCTCTGTGCTGTCCGCACAGAGTCCCATGCGGGACTCAAACCCACAAACCCCAAAATTATGACCTGAGCCAAAGTTAGCCGCCTAGCCAACTGAGCCATCCAGGCGTCCCATAACTCACCCAGTCTTTATATGGATTTTCTTACTTGTATTACTACCTCTGCCTTTTAAATAATGGCTTAGTGAAGTATAAAGAAATAATTTTTCTAGAGTCACACATGTAATCAGTGGCACATATGGATTTAAACCCAGGAAATCTAGCTTCAGAGCCTAGGCTCTTAATCATTTTGTGATACTGCCTCCCCCTACCCTTTATTTTCTTCTTTTTTTTTAAGTTTATTTGAAAGAGAGAATCCAAAACAGGCTCTGTGCTTTCAATGGAGCCCAGTGTTGGGCTTGAACGCTCAAACCATGAGATCATGACCTGGGCCAAAATCAAGAGTCCTCAGAAGCTTAAGAGACTCTGAACTGCCCAGGAGCCCCTCCCCCTCTTTTTAATGGTATTGAGTTATCATAGCTCTGTGAATCAAAGATTTTGCTGTCTTTGGTACAAACCATCTGACCAGAATTGATTGACTGATACAGATGATCTTGAATCCTTTTACTCCCTAATGTGGCCACTGAATAATTAATAAACCTGTAACACTGGAATATATAAAAGTGAAAGCAGAAAGAATATGTAGCTTTTCTGAGCGTAGATGAGTTAACATTTAGCCTCAAAAACTAAAACTAAGAACTTATTAAACAACAGTTAGGTATATATATCCTCTCCTGTGAAGGAGAAGCAAGCACCTAGAAGGGGCTGCTTTGCTGAAATTACAATGAACTGCATTTAATGAAGCTCTAATTTTATAAGAATACTTTTTTTTTTTTTCAGTTTGTTTATTTTGAGAGAGAGAGGGAGAGACCGCAGATCCTAAGCATGCTCTGCACTGTCAGTGCAGAGCCATCTGAGCCACCCAGGTGTCCCTACAAGGGCATCTTTAAATTGAAAAACAAAAAGTAGGTGCCTCTGGGTGGCTCAGTCATTTGAGCAGCCCACTCTTGATTTCTGCTCAGGACCTGGGATTTGCCGGGGTGGTGGGATTAAGCACAAGCTCCAGCCTGGGCATGGAGCCTGCTTAAGATTCTCCTTCTGCCCCTCTCCACAACTGGAGCTCTCACTCTCCTAAATTAAATAAATAAAAATAAATAAATAAATAGCAAAGTAGTTAAAACCAGTTGAGAAGATGATCTGTAAAAGTCATTCGGCCTAGCTTATATCTAAGGGTGGGAGATTTGAGGCTGTTGCTTTAGTATTAACATTCTGGACACAACACATGAAACCTATAGCATGTACAGTCTTTAACTGGTCATACCAAACTGAAATTTCCTTAATTCCCATATTGATGGTCTTTGCTTTTTTAACATTCATTTTTGAGAGACGGAAGAGAGACAGCATTAGTGGGGGAGGGGCAGAGAGCAAGGGAGACACAGAATGTGAAGCAGTCTCCAGGCTCTGAGCTGGCAGCACAGAGCCCATTGTGGGGCTCAGACCCACCAACCGTGAGATCGTGACCTAAGTTGAAGTCGGACACCCAACCGAATGAGCCACCCAGGTGTCCCTGCTGTCCCACTTACTTTAAAAAGGCCACCCTTTTTAAGTAACTTTTTAAGCTAGTAATCTTTTCGTCCTTCAAAACAGCTCAAGCATCAACTCCTGAAACCTTCCCTAACTTTCCCCACCCTTATTCCTAGATTGTGTCCTCATTTTATTTACTTCTCTCTTCTAAACTCAAAGCCCTTTGAAGACACTGTAAAGACTCTGCCTTGCACAGTGCTTGACTAGAAGAACATGATCAATGAATTGTTTGAACGAAGGGGAAACTGGAGCTTGAAGGAAATGGTTAATGATAACGAATGAACTCGGTGAATCCTTAGTAGTAAAGACAGAAGTTGAGTTGTCCTGGGCAGTGAGAACCGATCCATGTTTTGAAATGAAGACAAAAGACTGTCATTCATTTGGAATGACTTCACATGACACATATAAACAGATTCGTTATTTACTCCTTTCCTCTGGAAGAAAGTCTAGAGTGTGATTTTGTTTGCTTTTTCTTGTTTTACCCATTAGTGTTGAGGTTCTGCTGACTTCTAATTGGTTCATTCTCTTCGGGCATTTTACTTTTGTATTAATCATGTCCTAAAGAGAAATTGAATACATTTGAAAAGAAACTAATTTTTCTTTGAGGAAATGACTTGAGAATTATATGTCTATGTAGCAGTTGGTCTATTGGTACCAATAATTGGCCTTTCGTTCCCAGATGGTATGCTGTTCTTTGCTATTATTTCAAAAGATTTCTCTGTTTCAAGGTTGATACTCCGTCTCCAAGCCCAATGGAAACATCTGGATGTGCCCCTGCAGAAGAATATCTGTGTCAGGCTTTCTCTGATGTAATACTTGCAGTGAATGATGTGGATGCAGATGATGGAGCTGATCCAAACCTTTGTAGTGAATATGTGAAAGATATTTATGCTTATCTGAGACAACTTGAGGTCTGTATTATTTTTAGATTCTTTGTTTTTCTAAACTGTGCTTGGTTTTATTAAAGATGTTTTACATTGTTTACAAGAATTCAAGCAGGATATAAGTAGCATTTCTTAACAGTAAATTTCACTTTGAAATTCTCCTTCATTGAGTACCAAGAATCAACTCACTAAAAAAACCAAGAATATCTTTATTTGTTTGCTATTTTGAACAGAGAAAGTTCAGAATGACACTGGATACTACCCGAACTCTCTTTTTGTTAAAAAAAAAAAATTCTTTTAATGTTTATTTATTTTTAAAAATATTTTTATTTATTTCTAGGAGATAGAGAGACAGCGTGAGCTGGGGAGGGTCAGAGAGAGAGGGAGTCACAGACTCTGAAACAGGCTCCAGGCTCTGAGCTGGCAGTCAGCACAGAGCCCGACTCGGGGCTCGAACCCACGAACCGCGAGATCATGACCTAAGCTAAAGTCGGACGCTTAACTGACTAAGCCACCCAGGCGCCCCATTTAATGTTTATTTTTGAAAGAGAGAGTGCAAGTGGGGGATGGGCAAAGAGGGGGGAGACACAGAATCTGGAACAGGCTCCAGGCTCTAGCTGTCGACACAGAGCCCGATGCAGGCCTAGAACTCGACGAACCATTAGATCATGACCTGTCCCAAAGTCAGATACCTAACAAATGAGCCACTCAGGTACCCACTCTTAGAACTCTTTCTAATGAATGCCTGTAGGTTAAATGATACACTTATGTCTATCACAGTTAGGAGTGAGCAATTCCCCGGCTCTGAGTTTGAGAATTAGAGGCAGGAGATAGATGGTAATGGAAAATATGCTGAGAAACTATAACCACCAGCAGTGCAAGGCATTTTGTGTCATTGTGGCTGATGTGCATGTAACACCAGGGAAATTTTTCTGTGTTTTCGAGTACAATAAAAAAGTTCTTGTTTCCTTCCGTATCACTTCTGAAACTTTCGTATTAGTGGCATGTGCCCTCTGTTCCTCCTCCCTTCCAAAACAAGGAAGCATTCTGTATGCTAACAAAAAAGCAAACAAACACATTTGCCCAGTTGTGTGTTATAAGACCTTCTCTTCTTTCAACACCTTTTTACATCTTTTCTCTCTTGCCTGGTTCTTCTGGACATTGAAAAGATTTTCTATATGATTGTTCTTCTTTCTTGCCAGAACCAGTCTTCCACTTTGGGTTTCTTCTCCTTTGTTTCTTAAGTTTTCTAGGGGAGCCTAGGTGGCTCAGTTGGTTAAGCGTCTGACTTCGGTTCAGGTCATGATCTCAGGTTTCTTGAGTTTGAGCCCTGCGTCAGGCTCTGTGCTAACAGCTCAAAGTCTGGAGCCGGTTTCAGATTCTATGTCTCCCTTTCTCTCTGCCCCTTTTCTGCTCATGGTCTATCTGGCTGTCTCTCTGTCTCTCTCTCTCTCGCCCCCAAAAATGAATAAACCTTTTTTTAAAAGTAAGTAAATATATTAGTTTTCTAATTTTGGTGGGGTGGGTTTAGCACATGTATATGTTGGTCTTTCATGGTTCATTCTTTTTACCTATGGTGTGTTGACAGTTTAAATCATACAGCAGGAAAGGGGTAGCATATAGGGTCCAGGTGATCTGGAAAATTGCTGGTGCTATTTTTCCCTGCTTCATAAAGCTCAGGTTCTGGGTTTATAGTGTGAAGTAAAAAGATATGAGATGAAGGCATGATATCTTGGGGTTGAAGTGGTTACAGAAAGATCTGCCAATATGAGAAACCTTTCAGACTGTCCTGTTTAATATTTGTTTTCTTCCTCAGTGATAGAGACTTTTGTAGTGACAGTATGAAGTGTTAAGTTGACAACTGTTAGAGATTCTAAATGCTCCATTACTGTTCTGTGGTGACTAATATTTCTCATCAGAAATGTCTTCTAAACGGTAATCAGCATTCTTTTGCAGGAAGAGCAAGCAGTAAGACCAAAATACTTACTGGGTCGTGAAGTCACTGGAAACATGAGAGCCATCCTAATTGACTGGCTAGTTCAGGTTCAAATGAAATTCAGGTTACTGCAGGAGACCATGTACATGACTGTTTCCATTATTGATCGGTTCATGCAGGTGAGCATAATTCAGTAACTGAGGGTTCTCCCAGGTTCTAGCTGAGTCACAAGAAACAGACTTTTCCAGCTAACATCTGTCTTGGGGGAATAGAGTGTCATTAACTATGATTTTGCTGTTAGAGTATTGTTTCCCATGTTCCCTTCATAGCCATGTTGTCTCTTTTTTCAAGTACATATTAGTTGTTCATCCATCTGGAATTCCCATTGCAGAATAATTGTGTACCCAAGAAGATGCTGCAGCTGGTTGGTGTCACTGCCATGTTTATTGCAAGCAAATATGAAGAAATGTACCCTCCAGAAATTGGTGACTTTGCCTTTGTGACCGACAATACTTACACAAAGCACCAAATCAGACAGATGGAAATGAAGATTCTAAGATCTTTAAATTTTGGTCTGGGCCGCCCTCTACCCCTGCATTTCCTTCGGAGAGCATCTAAGATTGGAGAGGTACAGATTTCTTAGATAATCTTTAGTATGGTGCATTATGAAATACTGCTCCTCATGCAGCTCTAATTCAGCTGACTTACAACTCTCACTACATGAAGAAGACCTAAAGATGTTCTTTATTTCCAATTAGGCTATGTATTAATATTTTCGTTAAGGCTTTCCATGGGCAGTTGGATTTGACAGTTAAAGAAAAGGTTTTTTTTTTAACATTTATTTATATTTGAGAGAGAGAGACCCAGATTGTACATGGGGAAGGAGCAGAGAGGGAGACACAGAATCCGAAGCAGGCTCCAGGCTCCGAGCTGTCTGTACAGAGCCCGATGTGGGGCTTGATCTCATGAACTGTAAGATCATGATCTGAGCCAAAGTCAGAGGCTCAACCGAATGAGCACTCCAGGCACCCCAGCATTTGAGTTTATAGACAAATACTTATGGGTATACTGGTTATTGCTAGTACAGAATTCTGACAAAAGCTCAGAGACCTGTCGGTTTTGTTTCAGGTTGATGTTGAGCAACATACTTTGGCCAAATACCTGATGGAACTAACTATGCTGGATTACGATATGGTGCACTTTCCTCCTTCTCAGATTGCAGCAGGAGCTTTTTGCTTAGCACTAAAAATTCTTGATAATGGTGAATGGGTAAGTTCTTCCCACGGACTTATGTTACCCTAAGCTTTTAAAATAAAAAAAATTTTTGTTTTAATGTTTATTTATTTTTGAGAGACAGACAGAAGAGCATGAGCAGGAGAGGGGCAGAGAGAGAGGGAGACAGAATCTGAAGCAGGCTCCAGCTCTGACCTGTCAACACAGAGCCCGATTCAGGGCTCGAACTTCTAGACTGAGATCATGACCTGAGCCAAATTCAGACACTTGACCAAATGAGCCACCTAGGCGACCCTAAGCTTTTAAATTTTTTTTTTTTTTAATGTTTTATTTATTTCTAGGAGAGAGAGAGAGACAGCATGAGCAGGGGAGGGTCAGAGAGAGAGGGAGTCACAGACTCTGAAACAGGCTTCAGGCTCTGAGCTGGCAGCACAGAGCCCGACGCGGGTCTTGAACCCACGAACCGCGAGATCATGACCTAAGTGAAAGTCGGACGCCCAACCGACTAAGCCACCCAGGCGCCCCAAAGCTTTTAAATTTTTTAAATGATGTTTGCATGAATACTGGACGGTTTTCGTTAACGGACAATTCAAATGATTTCTAAAAGTAGAGCATATACTGAGAGAATGATTAAAAATGGTATTGTGTTTGCTGTGTGTTCATAGGATATTCCCACTTCATTATAGTCTTCATTCTATACAGATGAAGACTCTCAGGCAGGTCAAATGACATACCCGGAGTCCATTCATACCCACTGATTCTACACATATTTCTCCAATGTGCCATATGCTACCATAGGCCTTAGGAGTGGAATTAGGCATGTGAATGTCGGTGTCAAACAATTTGGAGCCTAGCTTTGGGGGGTAGACTAGTCAGCAATTACAGAGGTTTAGTTATGTTTGAGCACATTAGTGTATAATAGGTTTAAGTACTGGAGAAGCATGAAAGAAGCATCTTAAGTTTATTTTAAATTTCAGTTGTAATCGGTCCTACAGAATCCCTCTTCTTATCCTACTCTTGACTTACAGAAATTTTCTAAGCACCATTCTTGATGAGTATTTATAATGTTAACTTTTGTTGCCGTAGACACCAACTTTACAGCATTACCTGTCCTACACTGAAGAATCCCTTCTAAATGTAATGCAACACCTGGCAAAGAATCTAGTCATGGTGAATCGTGGGCTTACAAAGCACATGGTAAGTCAGGGGCATTGTAGGATGTTGGGAGGAAAATGAAAATACTTAAGATTTCAAGTCTGTAAACGACTCGTTTTGAAAGAATTGATTTTTTTTTATAATGCTATTTTTTTAAGTTTATTAATTTTTGAGAGCGAAAGAGAGTGGGGAAGGGAGAGGGAGAACACCAAGTAGACTCCACACTGTTAGCAGTGTGGAGCCTTACATGGGCTCTATCTCATGAACTAAGAGATCATGACCTGAGTGGAAACCAAGACACTTAACTGACTGAGCCACCCAGGTACCCCTGAAGGAATTGTTTTAAGTGAATATGTGTACTATTGGGTCTCACAATGTTTTTTTCCTTTTTCCCTTCATTAATTACTATGCTTTTCTCTTCTAGACTATCAAGAACAAGTATGCCACATCTAAGCATGCTAAGATCAGCACTCTAGCACAACTAAATTCTGCACTAGTTCAAGATTTAGCCAAGGCTGTGTCAAAGGTGTAACTTGTAAACATGAGTTGGAGTACTATAATAACTGCAAATAAAATTGGCACTATGTGCCATCTGTACATACTATATGTTACGTTTGCTTACTTTTAATAAAGCTTGTGGTCCTTTTTATTTCTTATACCGTAACTCATTTGAATGTGGCTACTTCCTACTCCAGGGTAACCTAAAAGATTTGTTAAAGATAAGTTAGGGAATGTAAAAAGTGTTTCCAGTTTATTGGGATCCAGCACATATATATAATTGTTATTTGTGTGGTTCTTGTTTTATGTACCTGGCTTTAGATTCTTGTATGAGTTACTGTGGTTGTGAAGGCATTTAAAGCCGTTCGTTAGGGCATACTGCATGCAAGTCCAATTACCTTGGAGAATATGCTGCCTCATTTTGCTTAAAGGTCTGCCACTCTACCCTTAGTCCCCTTGTTTTCTGTTTCCTCTGGTGGTTGCTGCCGTAATTCTAAGTAGGTTTTACTTGTACCACTATTTGTTAAAACGATCAACTTGAGCTAGTAGCAACTTTTTCACTTGAAAAAATAACGTTATATTCTATACTTTGCTTTTTCACTGTCTTTATTGATCAAATAAAAGCAGATCCTCAAAACATAAGTTATCTACAAAAGTTAACTTACTCTCCAACCCCTACTCTTACAGCTCAATCCCATCCATCTGAAGGTACCAGCAGTTTGGGGTGTATCCTTCTTTGCCTTCTATAAATATAAATATGCTTATAAATAAGTTGTCATGGGGCTTTCTAGGAAATTGAATCATTCTATATATAAGCAATTACTTTTAACATGTGTATGCCTTGCCCGGGTGTAGGCATTCCATTCCATAATATGGATATACTATAGTGTATTCAACCATTCTGTTGTTGACCTTCAGATTGCTTTTCCTCTTTGCTCCTACAGACAAACCTGTGGATCATTAAATACCATGCTTTCCCTTCTGTATGCTGGTTCTTTGGGGTATGTGCGTTCTAAGTTTTGGCAGATGCTGCCAGATGACTCTCAAGTGTTGTCAGCAATGTACAAAACTGCCGGGTTTCTCTGCATCCTTGCCAATACTGAAGATAATGATTCTACAATTTCTGTGAATTTGGCAAGAAATAATCTACCTTGTTTGCTGTCCTAATTTTAATTCTGATGGCTAGTTGAATAAATTTTTGTTGACTATTTCTCACTATGTAAGTTTTTTCCATTTTGTCATTTGCCTTCTGAGTGTTGCTCTTTTGCCACGCAGACACTTGGGAGTTTTTATATTATCAATTTTTTTTTCTACAGTTGCTTTTGGATTTGCAATCTTGAGATAAACCCCATCTCAAAACCATAAACATGGAAAATTTGAAAATTTCCCTATTTATATCTATAATTCCTCAATAAACTTTCCGTAGATGGTATAAAGTAAGACTCTTCCAGATGGGTGCCCATTTTTGTCAGTACCGCATGATCAAAATTACTCTTGTCCAGCTGAGTTGAAACCGTAATTGCCATCTATTGTTTCCTGATTGACTTTTTTCTTGTGACAAACTTAATGTTAAATTATTACATTATCTGGGAAGATGAAGCAAGCACTATTTCTCTGTCCCTTGGCAGTTTCAAACATAAGAACATTATAAAGTTATATCCAGTTATCAAGAAGCTCCTTTGAGGTTTTCGGTATGCATTCAGTCTTCCCATCTAGAAGCCTTTTTCTCCAAAGTCTGTTGCATGTCCTCCAATGGAATGTTAGAATTTTAATTGTATAATTACTGCACTTGTCAAGTTCATTGCTGAGTTTATGGGGTTTTTTTGTCACTTGTAAATAGGATCTATTTCCTGCTAGTTTTACTGACATCAGTTTTTTTTGTTTTTTGTTTTTTTTACTCTTTTAATGGAGCTAGGTGTGGGATTAGATCCCACCCCCGAGATGATGGACAGGGATGAAATCAAGAGTCAGTTGCTCTACTGACTGCGTAACCTAGGCACCCCTTAACTGCTCAACTTCTAAGTAGTTGTTTTCTTTTGGAATTTTTTGGAATTCTTTGTGTGGTGATTTAAAAAAAAATTTTTTTATGTTTTTATTTATTTCTGAGAGAGACAGCATGAGCAAGGGAGGGTCAGAGAGAGAGGGAGATACAGAATCTGAAGCAGGCTCCAGGCTCTGAGCTAGCTGTCAGCACAGAGACCGACACAAGGCTCGAACCCACGAACTGTGAGATCACACCTGAGCCGAAAGTCGATGCTCAACTGACTAAGCCACCCAGGAGCCCCTGTGAGGTGATTATTTTAGTTTCATTGGAAGTGGGGGCCTTTAAAAAGACTTTGAAACTATATTTTTCTGTGGTAAGTACTTGAAAGACTTCTGTAAATATTCCAAGGATATAAGAAAGGATTATTTCCTGATAGGGGGCAAAATTCTAGGTACTTATGTAGGCAAATACTAAACTACAGGTGTAAAGAAAAGTACGTGTGTGTGGTGGGGGTATATATACATGTGTCTGCATATATTAGAGCCACTTCAAAGTGAATTTTAGATGTCAAGATTGGGTCAACTTAAAATACTTGGTCATGCATCTCATAAGAATTCAATCCCGTTTTCCTAAATAATCATAATCTTTATCACACTAAGTTAATTCCTATGTGTAATGTGCAGTGTGTATTCAAATTTTCTCAATTGTCCCAAAATGTTTTTCCAATTTAGGTTACAATTAAGTTGTCTCCATATACAATAGTTGTGCTTTTTGTTTTTCAAGGCATGGACATGAACGGTCTAGTCTGTTTGCCTTGTAGAATGTCCCTCACTCTAGATTTCTTGTCTGTTTCTTCATAGTTAAGTTCAGGTTATGCAATATTCTGGCAAGAATATTGGTCATTTGTACAACTTATACATGATATTGGAGTTACATATTAGTTGTTAACACTACTGAAGATAACCGTGTTCGATCATCTGGTTAAGGTAACCACCTGATACAGCTTTGCTGCAACAGTGCTGTTCTCAATCCTTAGTTTTATTATTCATGATACTAACTTTGAAACATATATCTCACGAGAGTGACATTGTAGTTAGCTAATTGTATTATCCGTTCCATATTATTAGACTTTCTCTAAAGAATAGCTCCACACTCATATCTGTCCCTTTTTGTTTTACTATAGATTTTTTTTTTAAGTCTTCGTTATAATCTATTACCATAGTGCTTCTCAAAGTGTCATCTCAACCAGCAGCATGAACATCACTTGGGTTTTTGTTAGAAATGTAAACCAGAATCAAAACTTGGGAGAGGCACCACGCAATCTTTTTTTTTTTTAATTTTTAAAATTCCAGTATAATTAACAGTGTTCTTAGTTTCAGGTGTACAATATAGTGATTCAACAATTCTCCACATTATTCAGTGTTTATCACAATAACTGTGCTCTTAATCCCCTTCACCTATTTCAACCATCTCCCCATTCACTTAGCAGTCTGTTTTAAACCAGTCCTTCCCATGATTCTGATTCCTACTCAGATGGAGAACTACTGCATTGTCTTCGTCCCAAATTTGGCTTTGGACACCTGATAGACAACTACTAAAAAGGATAAGATTGATGTGAGATCCTGGAAGACTTCCAGTGTAAAGCCAAAGCCCAAGACTGTTTTTGTATAAAACAAATAATGGGGGGGGGGTTGCCTGGGGGCTCAGTCTGTTAAGCGACCTATTCTTAATTTCAACTCAGGTCATGATCTCAGGGTTCATGAGTTCCAGGCCCATGTCCGGCTCTCTTGCTGTCAGCACAGAGCAGGTTTCAGATCCTGTCTCCCCCTCTCTCTGCCCTTTCCTCTCTGCTTCTCCTTCTCAAAGTAAACATTAAAATAGTAATAATAATAATGAAAGGGAACTGTGTTTTTCCAGGAGCTTGGGGTAGGAGTGGCAAACCTAACGTATTTACATCCCTGCCTTTGCACCTCTGCCCGTAGCTGTTGCTTTGATAATAAAGAGTAAGAAAGGAGAGAGCACTGTGTGATCAAGTATAACTCAGGGGAAACTAGTTATATAAGGGGAATGCTCGGCTCTCTTGTCTGAGTTGCTGTGCTTGTGCTACTAAGGCTAAGTGTCCCTTACAAGCCGACCTTAATGAAAAACTACAAACCAATCGAGCGGTTTACGTCCCGCATTTTCTCCATTAGCTGCTCAATGTCCAGCTAAAAATGTTTAATTGCAACCTGATAAATCGACAAGCTGGCACTTGGGAGCACTAGACTGAGTGAATCTTACGGACAGAGAAATTTCACGCTGCAAGATTCAGGTTCAAGTGTATACACTGACTCATAGCGGGCTTTAAGTTGTGTCTGAACTCTAGCCACGGGGATCTGGACATTATGAACTCAGATGGAAAGTCTATTTAAACAACCCTCTGGTGTTTCTCTTTCTCAGCCTGTCGGGCACCCCCATTTTCCAAGGCCGCGAATGTAAAGGGAGTACCAAGACGGGTAAAACCAAAACAATCAAACAAACAAAAAACAACACAACAAAAACTTTCCCGAAGATCCCCACTCCCAGCACCAAGGATGAGTGACCATTTGTGTTGGGATTTTCCTTTCCAGCCAGTTCCTGGGCGCCCGGGGGTGTCCCAAACGGCTATAGCCCAACTCCCGGCCCAGCACATGACAGATCTGATGCTTAAAGCTCAAACTCCCTGAGGCGCCTGGGTGGCTCAGTCAGTTAAGCGTCCGACTTCGGCTCAGGTCACGATCTCGCGGTTGGTGGGTTCGAGCCCCTCCTCCGGCTCTGTGCTGACAGCTAGCTCGGAGCCTTGGGCCTGTTTCGGATTATGTGTCTCCCTCAGGTCTGACCCTCCCCTGGTCATTCTGTCTCTCTCTCTCTCAGAAAAAAATAAAACATTAAAAAAGTTAAGTTCAACTTTGCTTATTAGTGATCTGTAAGATTGCAAAGAGTAGCCAGGATAAGAGAAACAGCAGTAACCACGGCAACCAGAGGCCGGGACGGAAGGGGTGGGTCCGTGGGGCGGAAGGGGCGGGACGACAAGCCGCGGTTCTCCGGCCCTTTCCCGGCGACCAGTTCGTGGCGGGAAAATCGATTCCAAAGGCCGCATCTTCCCGTCCCAAGCCGTACCTCTTCGCGTCAGTCAGAATGGAGATACAACCCGGAGAGCAAGCGGCCACCGAGCCCCCAGATTTGGGAGCGGGAGGCGGGGATGGCAGGCCACCGCACGTCGCCGGCGCCCAGGAAACACGTCCCGAGGACCGCCTGACCCTGCTGCTCAGGTTGTTCCCTCTGGCCCGCTAGGCCGGATCCAAGTGGGCATCGTGGCGGAGAGTTCCGCCCTTTGCTCTCAGTCCCGAAGGCTTCGCGTTGGGACTCGGTCCCTTCGTAGCTGTGTCATTGAGTCATTCACTTAAGCTCCGTAAGCTCGTTCCCTCATCTTCTGAGAAAGAGGAAGATTACACCTTCCTAGCAGAGATGCAGGGGGCGTCCAATGAGCTACTCAGAGACAAGCGTTTAGCCCAGATCCCAGGGCCCCTAGGGCCTTCGGAGCCGTAATTTCCTCCCTTTTCTCGTGCGCTCGCGTCCTGGGGCCCCGATTTTCCAGCGGGTGCATCTAAGGCCTCAGCTGCTTGAAAATAAGTTGTCTTTCCTCTTTGTTATATAGTTATGACCCTTTTCAATCCAGAAGCCTCATTTGTTATATTTTCTACCAAGAGGATGATTGGTGTTTAGACTTTTTTTAAACGTTTATTTATATTTGGGAGACAGAGTGTAAGCGAGGGAGGGGCAGAGAGAGGGGGAGACACAGAATCCCAAGCAGGCTCCAGGCTCTGAGCAGTCAGCCCAGAGCCCGACATGGGGCGCGAACCCACAAACCGTGAGATCATGACCTGAGCCGAAGTCTGTTGCTTAACCGACTGAGCCACCCAGGCACCCCTGTTTATACTTTTTCCACTACACAGTTGCTACGGGAAGATGTGATGAGAAAGGATATCAATCCAGTGGGCAAACAATGGCGTAGGTCCCAGTCCACCCTACTGCGTGTTATGGCGTGACCCGGCAAGCTAAGAATAATTTTTGTTTTTTTTAATTTATTTTTTATTAAAATTTTCTTACATTTATTTATTTTTGTTTGTTTTTAATTTTTTTTTAACATTTATTCATTTTTGAGAGAGAGAGTGTGTGAGTGGGGCAGGAGCAGAGAGAGAGGCAGACACAGAATGCCAAGCAGGTCCTGGGCTCTGTGCTGATGCGGGGCTCGAACCCACGATTGTTGACCTCCTGACCTGAGCCCAAGTCGGATGCCCAACCGACTGAGCCACCCAGGTGCCCCTACATTTATTTATTTTTGAAAGACCGAGAGGGACAGAGCACAAGTGGGGGAGGGGCAGAGAGAAGGAGATAGAATCCGAAGCAGGATCCAAGCTCTGAGCTGTCAGCACAGATCTCTACCGGGGGCTGAACTCAGAAACTATGAGATCATGACCTGAGCCGAAGTCAGAAGCCCAAACAACTGGGCCACCCAGGCACCCCTAATTTTTATGTCTTTAAGTAGTTGGGACAAAAAAAATTTCTGGAGGAAAATTTAATAACACGTGGAAATTATATGAAAGTCTAATTTCAGTGCCCTTAAGGAAGGGCTTGTTGGAAGGGAGCTTTCCTGCTATACAGGGTCTGAGTTGAGTAGCTCCAGTAGAGACCATATGAATCACAAAGCTAAAATGTTTCTTGTTTGGCCTTTACAGGAAAAAAAAATTTTTTGTTCTATATCCTACAAGGATTTTTTTTGTGTTGTTTTACCTCCACAAAGCGTTGTAACTCTTTTAGATTTACCACTGCGTTGAAAGATCTTGACTAATAAACCTCACAACCTCACTTTAAAAATTCCCTCATTCCCATAATATAAAGTGCAAAAATATTAAAGATAAAAGATAACCGTTTGGAGCACCTGGGTGGCTTAGTTGGTTAAGTGTCTGACTTGGTTTCAGCTCAGGTCGATCTCACAGCTCTGAGTTTGAGTCCTGCATTGGGATTCTGCTTAGGATTCTCTCTCTCCTCTCTCGGCCCCTCTTCTGCTTGGTCTCTCTTGCTCGCTCTGTCTCAGAATTAATAAACTTTAAAAAAAAAAAAAAAAGATCACCTTTTGTATCTCAGCTAAAAGGAAACTGTTCTTACAGTGTGTCTTAAAATGCTAGCCTACCTTCTTAACCTTTAAGAAATTGTTCTTTTCATTTGGAACTTTAAGGAACTTATACCATGGAAATTTATAATTCTGTCTATACTATAGACAGTATAGTATTATACTAATACTATAAAAAGTAATGTTACTTAGCTACTTATATAGGTCTCAGAGTCACAAAGCAGTTTCAGAATTACGAAACTATCATGTAAATGTAAAACATGTTGGAAGAATAACTTAATAACTCGTTAGCATTTTACTTATAGCTTTTCTACTTATTTTATGTATGATTTTGTTTTTTTTAAAAATTTTTAATGTTTATTTATTTTTGAGAGACAGAGCATGAGCAGGGAAAGGGCAGAGAGAGAAGGTCACAAGAATCTGAAGCAGGCTCTAGGCTCTGAGCTCTCAGCACAGAGCCTGATGTGGGGCTCAAATCCACAAACCGTGATATCATGACCTGAGTGGAAGTCTGCCGCTTAACCGGCTGAGCCACCCAGGCACCCCTGATTTTGAATTAACTACAATCATAGGACGACGGAGAAACTGTATGAATTATCTATCCAAGGATTAGTATCTTTGTTATTTTTTGTATCTCCTAAAAAATGGTACAGTGTGTTTTTTAACTTCATTACAGTGTTTGCAGTTTTCACTGTTTCTTCTTTGTGTAGCCCATAGTTATTTCTTCAGCCATTTCTTACAGATTGTTCAGTTTGTTGGCTTATTATTTTTCATAGTATGCTTTTATAATCCTTTGTATTTCTGTGGTGTCAATTTTACTTTTCTTGATTCTGATTTTATTTATTTGGGTCTTTTTCTTTTTTATTGATGAGTCTAGCTAAGAGTTGTTCAATTTTGTTTATCTTTTCAAAGAACAAGTTCTTGGTCTCATGGGTTTTTTTCTTTTTTCTTTTTCTTTTTTTCTTTAGTTTCTATGTCATTTATTTATGGTCTGATCTGTATTATTTCCTTTCCTCTACTCCCCTTGAGTTTTTATTCTTCTTTTTGTAGTTCCTTTTAGATGTAAGGTTAGATTGTTTGATTCTTTTCTTGTTTCTTGAAGTAGGCTTGTATTGCTATATACTTCCCTCTTAGAACTGTTTTTGCTATGTCACAAAGATTTTGGACCATTGTGTTTTCATTTTTATTTGTGTCCATATATATTTTTTAATTTCTTCTTTGATTGCTTCACTTACTTTCTGGTTATTTAGTATCATGTTGTTTAGTGTCTATGTGTCTGTATTTTTTCCAGTGTTTTTGTATTGTGATTTATTTCTAATTTCATACCATTGTAGTCAAAAACGATGCAAAATATGATTTGAATCCTCTTCAGTTTGTTGAGAGTTGTTTTATGACCTATTATATGATCTGTTCTGGAGTGTGTTCCATGTGCATTTGAAAAGAATGTGTTTTCTATTGTTTTTGAATGGAATATTTTATATATGTTGTTATGTCCATCTGGTCCAGTGTGTCATTCAAAGACATTGTCTCCTAATTGATTTTTCCCATTGGATGATCTATCATTGATGTAAGTATGGTGTCAAAGTCCCCCTACTATTATTGTATCACCATCAGTTTCTCTTGTTGTGTATGTTAACATTTCTTTATGCATTTAGGTCCTCCAGTGTTGGGTGTGTAGATACTTAAAAATGTTATAGCCTCTTGTTGGACTGATTCCTTTCTGACTATGTAATGTCCTTTCTTGTCTCTTGTTACAATCTTTGCTTTAATGTACTTAAGCTTATTCTTATTTATTAAGAGAAGAGAGAAAGATAGTGTGAGCAGGGGAGAGGCAGAGAGAGAGGGAGAGAGAGATAATAATCCCAAGCAGGCTCTGCACTATCAGTGTTGAGCCAGACGTGGGGCTCAAACCCACCGAACTATAAGATAATGACCTCAGCTGAAACCAAGAGTTGGGTCACTCAACCAACTGAGCCACTCAGCCAACTGTGCTGACAGCTCAGAGCCTGGAGCCTGCTTCAGATTCTTTGTCTCCCTCTCTTTCTACTCCTCCCCAACTCACGCTCTCTGTCTCTTAAAGATGAATAAACATTAAAAAATATTTTAAGTCTATTTTGTCTGGTATAAGTATTGCTACATAGTCTTTTTTGGGATGGGGGAGGCTTCCATTTTCATGGTGAATGTTTTGCCATCCCTTCACTTCCAGTCTGTATATGTCTTGAGGTCTGAGGTGAGTCTCTTTTAGGCAGCATATAGATGGGTCTTGTTTTTTTAATCCATTCTATCATTCTCTGTCTTTTAATTGGAAAATTTGGGCCATTTACATTTAACGTAGTTACTGATAAGTGTGTACGTATTGCCATTTTAAAAATTTGTTTTCTGGTGTGTTTGTAGTTTTTCTGCAAAAGACCTTCTTGCTCTTTCTTTGCGAGTGATGAGTGTAGTGTTTTGTTTGGCTTCTTTCTCTTTATTTTTTGTGTATCTATGATAGGTTTGGGTTTGTGGTTACCATAAGGTTCATATATAACATCCAAATGAATAGCAGTCCATATTAATTTGATGTCCATTTAAGTTCAAATATACTCTACAAAAAAACAAAAAACCCTCAAAAAACTATAGAAGAAAACAGTCTTTCCCCCTTCTCTTCTCTTTTTACTGCCTTTTCCACACTTTATGTATATCTTGTCATATTTTACATCTTTTTATTCATCATTTTCTTATATCTTATTTGGCCATTTCCTTTCTACTTAAGGAAGTCACTTTAACATTTCTTCCAACACTGGTTTAGTGGTCATAACTTCTTTATTTTTTGTTTCTTTGGGAAACCATATCTCTCTGTCAAATCTTAATGATAACTCTACAGGTATAGGTTAGTTTTTTCTTTTCATCACTTTGACTGTGTCATGCCACTTGTTTGTGGTCTGCAAAGTTTCTGAAAAATCAGCTGATAGCTTCATAGGTTTTCCTTTGTAGTACTTTTTATTTTTCTCTTGCTGTTTTTAATTCTCATACGTTTTCTTTTGCTGCTTTTAATTCTCTCTTTATCTTTTTTTTTAATGTTTATTTTGAGAGAGAGAGAAAGAGAGAGAGAGAGCATGAAGAGAGGAGGGACAGAGAGAGAGGGAGAGAGAGAATCCCAAGCAGGCTCTTTTTTAAAACTCCTTTTTCTTTTAGCGTTCTGTTTGCATGCTTTTATCACTGTGTCTTCCAGATCACTAATGTTCTTCTGCATCCTTTAATCTACTGTTGATTCCCTCTAGTGTGTTTTTTATTTAGGCTATTACAATCTTTAACTCTGATTAGTTACTTTTAATGTTTTCTGTCTCTTTATTGAAGGTCTCACTGAGTTCTTCTTCTCTTCAACCTGGTGACTATCTTTATGATCATTACTTGAAATTCTTTTTCAGGCATATTGTTTGTTTCATTGAGTTCTTTTTCTGAGGCTTTTTTCTTGTTCTTTCTTTTGGAGCATATTCATCTGTCTCCCCATTTTGCTTCACTTTTGTGTTTGTTTCTGTGGATTAGGCAAAACAGCTACTTCTCCTAAACTTGGAGGAGTGATATTGTGTATGGTGTCCCTTATGTAGATTGTGTGTGGTTGGTGACTTTTTCTGGCTGGCTGGAGCTGGAGCTGTGTATGTTAGTTATTCTTTCAAATTGTAGCATGTCTCCATCTCTCTTCCTGTTGTTTTTTGTTCTCTCTATCCTTGGTTATTCAGTAGCTGTTCAGTCAGCCCTTAGTTCTTCAAGACGAATAGCGTAATTAATAGATGCAATTTGATAGGGTGCCTGAGTAGCTCAGTTGGTTAAGTGTATGACTTCAGTTTAGGTTATGATCTCACAATTCATGAGTTTGAACGCCGCGTCAGGCTCTGTGCTGACAGCTCAGAGCCTGGAGCCTGCTTTGGATTCTGTCTCCCTCTCACTGCCCCTCCCCCATTCACACTCTGTCTGTCTGTCTCTCTCTCAAAAATAAACAGGAAAAATTTTTTTAAAATGTAATTGTTTTGTTCTGTAGACTTGAATTCAGAGTTTTTGTACGTTGCCATCTTGAACCAGAACTCTGTTTATGCCCACTTTATTATACTTTTCTTTATATTTTTAATTAAAAACTTTTTAATGTTCCTTTATTTTTGAGAAAGAGAAAGAGAGTGTGAGCAGGGGAGGAACAGAGAGAGAAGGAGACACAAAATCTGAAACAGGCTCTAGCCGCTGAGCTGTCAGCACAGAGCCTGACATAGGGCTCCAGCCCATGAGCTGTGAGATCATGACCTGAGCCCAAGCTGGAGGTTTAACCGACAGAGCCACCTAGGTGCCCTGTTTTTCATTTAAGTAGGCTTCATGTGCAGCTTGGAGCCCAATGCTGGGGTTTGAACTCATGACCCTGAGATCAAGAGTTGGTTGCTTAACTGACTGAGTGACCGAGGTGCCCCTCTTTAGGCCCACTGAAATGAAATCAGGCAAAACTAGAAGAGTTCTTGCTGAGTTTATTTACATTCATTAAATGCATATACTTATGAAAAAATGAATTGGTTTATCATATATTAATGAATATATGACTCTCTGGGGCACCTGGCTAGCTCAGTCAGTAGAGGATGTGACTCTCGATCTACTGGTCATGAGTTCAAGATGCATATTGGAGGTAGAGTTTACTTAGTTAATTTGCTTAATTAATTAACTTTAGTAATCAGCTTAATTAATTTATCTTCTCTTTATCTGATTTTAGGCTGAGAGCACAGACTAAACAACAACTCTTGGAATATAAATCAATGGTTGATGCAAGTAAGTATTTTTGTTTTCATATAAGATTTTGTGAGCTTGACGATGAATAGTATTCTAGAGAAAAGAAAATCAACTTTACAAAAAAAAAGTTATTTATTTTAGAAATGGGAGTGGTAGCATAATATAGTGCTATACTGTGTAAGAAGGCAAGAAGCAGGCATACCGCGGCCCTCAGGAACTTGTTAGGGATTCAGGAAATAGATTGAAAAAACTAAATAACAATGTCAGACATTTGAGGTCTGTTGATCAGAGAATTGGGAGATTCCTGTGGGAAGGAGTCCTAGAATTTGTGCTACCTTCGACAATCTGGGAGATTAAGTTAGCAGGTTAGACGATTGTTAAGCAAGTGGTCTAAGATCTATACTTTGAAAAGCATTGGAATATAGGACTGAGAGGCAGGCAGAAGGGACTTCAGCTTCAAGACATGAATGACAATTTTCGATTCTAAACATTGAACAAATTTAAAGTTATCTTTTAAAACTATTAATGCAGAAGTCTTAGGGAGCAAGAGAGTACTAAAATAACGGGTTAGCTCTCCTAAGGTAATAACCATTATTGCCACTTGATTTGTAAGCCCTTGGGTTACAAAGATAGGTTTTGGTGAATCTTTCTTTGTGAAAGGGGCTTAAAGAATAAAACCAGTTAATACTTTAGGTTGAATTAAGAGTTTAGTAGGGCACCTGGGTGTCTTAGTCAGTTATGCATTTGACTCTTGATTTTGGCTCAGATCATGATCTCACAGTGTCATGAGTTCCAGCCTTGCTGCGGAATGTCCGCACAGAGCCCACTTGGGATTCTCTTTCTTTGTCAGTTTTTCTCTCTTTGTCCCTTCCCTGCTCATGCTCTATCTCTTTCAAATAAATAAACTTTTAAAAAATTATAAGGAAAAAAAAGAATTGTGGGAAACCTGAGGGGCCACGTTGATGTCTTACTTCACCTGCATACATGTTTCAATTTAGGAACTTTTCACACTCTGCTCAATCTTTTATAAGGCCATAGATCCGAAGGTGGTTCTTGTATATTGTCAATCTGATATTCCAGGCTTTCTAAAAATATTTTTTTAAGTTTACTTATTTATTTTGAGAGAGAGAGAGTGCAGGTAGGAGAGGGATAGAGAGAGAGAGTGAATCTCAACAAGGCTATTCACTGTCAGCACAGAGCATGATGTGAGGCTCGATCCTGCGAGATCATGATCTGAGCCAGAGTCAGACACTTAACTGACTGAGCCACCCAAACACCCTACCCTCCATTGCTTATTTAAAAAATATTTTTAAATGTTTTTATTCATTTTTGAGACAGAGAGAGACAGAGCCTGAGGGGGGAGGGGCAGAGAGAGAGGGAGACACTGAATCGAAGCAGGCTCCAGGCTGCTGAGCTGTCAATCTGAGCTGTCAGCACAGAGCCCGATGCGGGGCTCGAACCCATGAACGTGAGATCATGACCTGAGCCGAAGTCGGAGGCTTAACCATCTGAGCCACCCAGGTGCCTCCATTGCTTATTTTTTAATTGGGTTATTAGTCTTATTGGATTTGTGTTCTTTGTTTATAAATATAGGTTTTCTTTTCATACATCTACCTATACATATACATGTATATGTAGCTATTTCTGTATCTACCTATATATCTAGCAAAGTGCTCGCTTTGGCAGCGCATATACTAAAATATATCTAGCAAGTATTTTCTCCAGGTTTGTTGCTTGCCTTTTTTTTTTTTTTTAACTATCTTTTGAGGAACTAAAGGCATTAATTTGATGAAGTTTCTTTTATCAGATTATTTGGTCTTTTGTGGTGTATGATTTTAAGTCCTCCCATCCAAGTACTAACCAGGCCCGACCCTGCTTAGCTTCTGAGATCAGACGAGATCAGGCACGTTCAGGGTGGTATGGCCATAGACTTTAAGTCCTATCTAAGAAGGCTGTGACCACTCCAAAGTCACAAAGATTTTCTCCTTTGTTTTATTCTACAAGTCTTAGCATTTTATTTTTTTTTTAATTTATTTATTTAAAAAAAAATTTTTTTTTAAATGTTTCATTTATTTCTAGGAGAGAGAGAGAGAGACAGTGTGAGCAGGGGAGGATCAGAGAGAGAGGGAGTCACAGACTCTGAAACAGGCTCCAGGCTCTGAGCTGGCAGTCAGCACAGAGCCCGACGCGGGGCTCGAACCCACAAACCGCGAGATCATGACCTGAGCGAAAGTCGGACGCTTAACCGACTAAGCCACCCAGGCGCCCCTTAAGGCTTAGCATTTTAGATTTAACATTCAGTTCTGTGATCCTTTTTGAGTTAATTTTTTGGTATGGTGTGAGCTAAGGATCAAGATTCTTTTCTTCCCCCTCTGGAAATCCAGTTTTTCTAGCCTTGTTTGTTCGAAAGATTTTACTTTCTCCATTGATTATTTGTAGGTCTATTTTGGGGCTCTTTTCTCTGTTCCCTTGAGATAGTTGTCTGTGCTTGCAATAATGCCACACTATCTTGAATACTGTGGCTGTATAGTAAATCTTGATATCAATGATATAAGACTTCCAGTGTTCTTCTTTATCATCATTGTTAACTATTCTAAGTTCTTTGTGTTTCTGTATGCCTTTTATTTTTTATTTTTTTTTTAATACTTTTATTTATTTCTAGGAGAGAGAGAGACAGCGTGAACAGGGGAGGGTCAGAGAGAGAGGGAGATACAGACTCTGAAACAGGCTCCAGGCTCTGAGCTGGCAGTCAGCACAGAGCCCGACGCGGGGCTCGAACCCACAAACTGTGAGATCATGACCCAAGCGAAGTCGGATGCCCAACCGACTAAGCCACCCAGGCGCCCCTCTGTATGCCTTTTAAAATCAGCTTGTCAATATCTTTATTTTTTTTTAAAGTTTGTTTTGAGAAAAAAGAGAGAGTAAGAGATTGTGAGCTGGAGAGGGCCAGAGAGGGGGACAGAGAGAATCCTAAGCAGGCCCCACACTGCTAGTGCAGTGCCTGATGTGTGGCTCGAACCCCATGAACTGTGAGATCATGACCTGAGTTGAAACTAAGAGTCAGATGCTTAACCAACTGAACCACCCAAGTGCCCCCAGCTTGTCAGTGTCTACAGAAGGAAAAAAAAAAAAGAATTAGAATTTTGTTTGGCATTTGATTGGGCTCTGTAGATCAATATGGGAAATTGTTGTATTAGCCATATTGATTCTTCTAATACCTATATGTATTGTATCTTTCCAGTATTTGAAAGTGTTCATTATAGAGGTCATATACATATTTTGTTAAATTTATCCTTAATCATTTCATGTTTTTGAAAGAAATTGCACAGTGTAATTCTTTCTTTTAATTTCCAGTTGTTTGTTGCTAACACATAGACATACAGATGAGTTTTTTGATATTGCTCATGTTAATATTTTATGCCTTTTTTATTTTCCATTATTCTAAAACTGTTGTCCCATATGGCAACTGCTAGCTCCAAGTGACTATTGAACATTTGAAATGTGTTTAGTCTGCGAGAGGGGCTATAAATGTCAAATACAGAAGAAAAGATTGTAAAATGTTTCATTAGTAATTTTAAATTAATTACATGTTGAAATGAAAATATTTTAGACCTTTTGGGTTTAAATAAGTTATACTGAAATATTTTTACTTGCTTTAGAATAAGGAATCTAGAAATTAAAGCTTAAATTTTGGGAAATTGGGAGACTAGTAAAGAATAAGTTTGGGGAGTGGAACACTTGGGTGGCTCAGTAAGTTAACATCTGACTCTTGAACTCAAATTAGGTCTTGATCTCAGGGTCATGAGTTCAAGCCCCATGTTCATGAATTCCAAGTCCATGCCCAGCGTGGAGCCTACTTTAAAAAAAAGAATTAGGGGCGCCTGGGTGGCTTAGTCGGTTAAGCGTCCGACTTTCGCTTGGGTCATGATCTCACGGTTCGTGGGTTCGAGCCCCGCGTCGGGCTCTGTGCTGACTGCCGGCTCTGAGCCTGGAGCCTGTTTCAGTCTGTGACTCCCTCTCTCTCTGACCCTCCCCTGCTCACGCTGCCTCTCTCTCTCTGTCTCTCCTAGAAGTGAATAAAACATTAAAAAAAAAAAAAAAAAAAAACGTAGTTAAAATTTCCTTTAAAAAAAAAAAAAAAGAATTAAATTTTTGGTTTGAGTGTGTGGCTTACATTATATTTCTGAGAGGCAGAAGGAAAGAGAATCTTTTTGGTTATTTGTTTAGAGAGTGAGCAAGCAGGGAAGAGGGGCAGAAAGAGAAAATCCCAAGTAGTTTCCATGCTCAGAGTGGAGTTAAATGCAGAGTTTGATCCCAAACCCTGGGATCATGAATTGAGCCTAAATCAAGAATCAGATGCTCAACCAACTGAGCCACCCAGGGTCCCTGGACAGCACTCTTCTAACCTGTTACTAACTTGAAAAATTATTTATTTATAGGTGAAGAAAAAACTCCAGAACAAATCATGCAAGATAAGCAAATTGAAGCGTATGTTATATTTTTAAATTTTTTGTTTTTTTAAAAAAAATATTTATTTATTTTGAGAGAGAGGGAGAGTGCAAGCAGGATTGGGGCAGAGAGAGGGAAAAGGAGAGAGAATCCCACAGAAGCTCCATGCTGTCAGCGTAGAGCCCAATGTGGGGTTCGATCCCACAACCCATGAGATCAGGGCCTGAGCTGAAACCAAGAGTTGGAGGCTTAACCAACTGAGCCACCCAGGCGCCCCTCAATTTTGTGTTTTTTACTAAGATTTGATACTATTATCCATCTTACACCATTATCTTCCTTTTTCCTTTTCTTTATTTTTCCAAATAGTTTTTCATGCATGTACTGAGAAGTTGTTGATCTAGGGTATGTTCTCATATTACATTAGTGATCCTGTTAGCACTTTTGGCATTCCCCTTTCACAAAATAATGAGTATGGTGTCTCAGAAGTATCTGTTTACCAAATCTATAAATGTATCAATGTGGGGGCCTGTAGAATACTTTCATTGAGAGAGAGTCATTTTACTTTTCTCAAAGGTTTACTTTATATATTTATTCTAACCGTGAATTTTTTTTTTTATATATCCCTGAAATTCTTTTGGTCATGCTTCTTTGATAGTAAAATTGAAGACCTGGAAAATGAAATTGAAGAGGTGAAAACTGCTTTTGAAATGAAAAAGCTTGCATTAGACAGGTAATTATTACATTTTAGGTATACACATTGTGAACTGAATGCAAACTGGTTATGATTTGAGGTAAAGGGAATATTTTAACTAGTCTAAATTATTAGTCTCAAGTAAAATGATCATTAGATAATGGTCACGCAAATTTGGAGCCCTGAGAGAAAAGTTAACATTCATTAATACCTTCATTTGAAGTAGTTATATAAGAGTTAGTTAATAAGGAAATGTCAGTCAAGGAAATAGAAGGGTGAGCTTAAATACCATTCGATCTTTCAAATGATTACTGGATTCCATTACTAGGGTTTATTATTAGTCAACTAAAAGTATTGTCATCGAGTTTAAATATGTATGTGTGTGTGTATATATGTGTGTATATGTGTGTGTGTATATATATATATATATTTATATATATATACATTTTTTTTTTAATGTTTATTTTTTTGAGAGAGCAGAGTTGGGGAAGGGCAGAGAAGAGAATCCCAAGCAGTGCCTCTGACAGCACAGAGCCTGAAGTGGGGCTCAAACTCACAAACCGTGAGATCATGACCTGAGCCAAAAATCTGGGACGCTTAACTGATGAGCCACCCAGGCACCCCTAAGTATATTTTTAATATAGGTTTTGCATCTCTATTTTAAAATTCATTTAACAAATATTTGAGTGCTTACTATGTTTTAAGCTTTGAGGTAAGTGCTGGTAGATAGCTGTTAATAAGGCAAACATAATACCTTGTAGACTTGTGATCTGAATTAATAATCTCACTTAAGTTGAATGACTTTTAAAATTGTTTCCTTATATTTCTGGCCTTCCCAGATGAATTTCTTATACATTTAGTTGAAAAGTAGTTAAAGTTCTCTTAATCATTTCCAGCAGTGAACATTTTTCCTTCTTCTCAGAAGCTGGCTCATTGTATAGATAATAAATATTTTTTATTTAATTTATTTAAGTAAGCTCTATGCCCTACATGAGACTTGGATTCATGACCCCAATTCCAGAGTGCATACTCTACCCACTGAGCCAGCCATGTGCCCTAGATCATATTTTTCAAGATGATTTCAGAGCTATTAAGAAATCTTATTTTAATGAGTCAAATTTTTGTGTGTGACATAAATGAGGAAATGACTTAAATATTGATAAGTTGATTGCCTTTCCATCATTTATTTATTAGCTGTTTGAATTTAAAAGTAATTTATGGAGTTTGCTTGTATGTAGGTATGTTTTAAACTTTACATTCAAGTATGGCTTTATATTCTCTAACTTTCTCCATTTCAGGTTTGTCTGTGTTAATCTCTGTAGTGCGTTAATGCTTAATGCTTCCTGCTGGCCCTGTGCCAAGGTGGATGGCTGGGAGAGCAAACCTCAGGCCGATTTCAAGCTTAGCATAGTAATGCACACCCTTAGCCATGTTGTTATTTTACATTTTTGTAACTTAATTTATCAAAGTATTCCCCATACAATAGTGTTTTAAAAACTACTTTGGTTTAGGTTACATTTAAAGGAAATCAATCTTTAACTTGTCATTTTTAATTTTTTTCTTTAACTACAAATGTTATCCATGTTTTATAATGCAAGCTTTTTTCCTTGTACTATAGGATGCAACTTTCAATTGCACTTAAAAAAAACCTGGAGAAAATTAACCCCCAGACTAGGTACGTTTGTTTTTTCTTTTTATTCTGGATTTGTTAAGAATAAGAAGGGAAATTGGCATAATGACTTTAGTTTTGTGGGAAAAAAATATTTTTAAAGATTTTTTTTTTTTTGAGAGAAAGAGAACAGGAGGGGCGTGGTGCAGAGACAGAGGGAGGCAGATGATCCAAGGCAGGCTCTGTGCTGACATCAGAGAGCCCCATGTGGGGCTCGAACTCACAAACCATGAGATCATGACCTCAACTGAAGTTGGATGCTTAACTGACTGAGCCACCTAGGCACCTGGTTTTGTGATATTTTTAAAAATTCACCATCAATGCCAACCACTTTTATCTGGGGAATAAGAAAAGTGATGGAATTTTTCTGTGCCTTCTTCAGCATTATAATTTTGTTTTTTGTTTTTTGTTTTTATTTATTTGTTTATTTATTTATTTTGTTTTATTTTTGAGACAGGGAGAGACTGAGCATGAGCAGGAGAGTGTCAGATAGAGAGGGAGACACAGAATCTGAACCAGGCTCCAGGCTCTGAGCTGCCAGCACAGAAACTGATGCAGGGCTCAAACCCATGGACCACCAGATCATGACCTGAGCTAAAGTTGGACATTTAGCCAACTGAGCCACCCAGGTGCCCCTCAGCATTATAATTTTTATAGTCCTGCCAATATTTTTTTGTTTTGTAGCCCTAAGAAACAATGGAGACTTTTAGCCAGAAAATCTGAAAATTTGAAGGAAGATTTTGAAAGTTAATTTTTGTTCAGTGTTTAGTATAAAACAGGAACAGGATTAGGTCATTTAATCCAATAACACAATGAGATAGGAATTATATGCTTCATTTTTCATTGGCAGAAATGAGTTTGTGTGTGTTAAACTATTTGTGAAGGAATATAAAATAAAAACTTTAGGGGCGCCTGGGTGGCTTAGTCGGTTAAGCGTCCGACTTTCACTTAGGTCATGATCTCGCGGTTCTTGGGTTCGAGCCCTGCGTCTGGCTCTGTGCTGACTGCCAGCTCAGAGCCTGGAGCCTGTTTTAGTCTGTGGCTCCCTCTCTCTCTGACCCTCCCCTGCTCACGCTGTCTCTCTCTCTCTCCTAGAAATAAATAAAACATTAAAAAAAAAAATAAAAAAAAACAACAACAAAACTTTGGCAGTCAAGGTTCTCTATGATATTGTCCTGTGTGTTTGGCCTCAGAGGCCTTAGCTGTTCCAAAAATCTTGTGATAAAAGATCCCCTACCATCAGCACCATAAAAGTGCCGAGATACATTTGAGCACTTCCCCTTTTTGGGTGTCTTAGTTCAGACTGGTACTGCATTCTCCCCATATGCTATTTAACTCCAGGATTCCATAAATCCTAAAATCTGAATTTAGGCCCTCTAACAAACTCCTCCTCAAAAGGAGAGCTTTAAATTTTTTTTCTAATGTTTTTATTTCTGAGAGAGAGAGAGGGAGGGAGACAGCATGAGCAGGGAAGGGTCAGAGAGAGAGGGAGTCACAGAATCTGAAACAGGCTCCAGGCTCTGAGCTGGCAGCACAGAGCCCATTGCAGGGCTCAAACCCACGAACTGTGAGATCATGACCTGAGCCGAAGTTGGACGCTTAACTGACTGAGCCACCCAGGTACCCTAAAAGGAGAGCTTTAAACATTCTTGAGTTAGGAGCACCTGGGTGGCTTAGTCAGTTAAGTGTCCGACTTCGGCTCAGTTCATGAGGGTGGTGGGGGTGACCTGGCAATCCACATTTAACATCCTTCCAAAGGATTGTGGCACTTTGAAGTATAAGAACCATTGTTCTTACCCAGTCTTATTTCATACTCTTTGGCTCCAGCCATACCAAACTAGTTGATCTAGGTAATTACTTCATGCCCTTTAAGATTCCGGGGTTTCCCTTGTTGTACTCTGTGCACAACTCTTTCAGCGGTTCATATTTATTACCGGTTCTGATAAAACCGTACTGTAGTTGTGGATTGATTTATCTCTTTCAAAAAATTTTTTCCTCTTTGTGTTTTACTCTGTTCTACATTCCTGGAGCCTAGCACAGGTTTTTGTTGAAGACATGAGGGTAAAAAAAACACCTTATTCAGTGAAAGTATTCTTATTGATGCTTAATGGCAGATAATTGTCTTTATACATTTGTCAAACCCATAGAATGTACAGGACCAAGAGTGAACTGTAATGGAAACTATCAGCTTTGGATGATAATGATGTGTTAAATGTAGATCTATTGTGATGAACAGACCTTTTCTCCTGGGGGATGTTGATAGTCAAAGAGGCTGTGCATGTGTCGGTTTGGGCGCATATGGGTACCTTCCATTTAGTTTTGCTGTCAGCCTCAAACTGCTCTAAAAAATTAAGTGTATTTTTTTTTTTAAAAAGCAGCCTATTAGCAAGTTATTAGGGCTTTTTCTCCCAAATAGGAGATTTTTAGAAACATTACTACATGCTTCAGTTTCATATCTTTTGGTCTGTGATTATGGATTTTTCTAGGGAAATGCATCTCTAATTTTATTGTTTTTATTTTTTTGCATCTCTGATTTTTTTAAAGTTTATTTTGAGAGCGAGTGAGCAGCCGGAGTGTTGGTACAGAGAGAGAGAGAGAATATCCAAGCAGGCTCCAAACCCAGCATGGAGCTCAACATGGGGCTCAAACCTATGAACTGAAGGATCATTACCTTAGCCGAAAACCAAATGTCAGAAACCTGACTGAGCCACCTAGGAGCCCCTGCATCTCTAATTTTAAACACAAATTTAGTTTACATCAAACTTTTCCAGGTTTATTTTGTTAAGTGATGAGTTTTTTATTCAAGTATACAGTAAATTTCATGAATGGGAATCCATAGTAATTGATGTGTTCATTAATGAAATTTTTTATTTTTAAATAAGGTTAACAAGTCATATTTTTTATTCCTTTTCAGTGTGCTCATGGATAACATGAAACACATATTAAATCTAAACAAATTAATAATGAAATCACACCAGGTAACTGCATATTGGGCTCTTTACACATTCTGTGATTTCAGTAACTTGTTGCTGCAACTCTATTGTGTACATAGGATTTCCCAGAGGTTACTGGTATGATTGGAATTCACTGTCTTTAAGTGTCTTTTTCATAACTCAGTTATTTCTGACACTGTGGCTGATTATCTACTTATAATTTAAGCTACTGTCCTTTGTCTCTCTTCTGTATGGAAATAAAGGGATTGAGAATGGGAGGTTTGGAAAACGAGAACTAATAGATAAAATTCAGTTATGTGTTACAGTTTTTTTCTTAGGTGATATGCCTTAATCTTTATTTCTAATAACAGGAATCTTGGGATTTGGAGGAAAAACTGCTTGATGTTAGAAAGAAGAGATTACGTATGTACAACAGTTTGTTTTGGTTTTGGTTTTTTGTAGAAAACATTTTCACTTACATAATTTCATGTATGGCATTTTAAAAATATTTTAAAATTTATTTATTTATTTTTGAGAAAGAGAGAGAGAGCTTGTGCAAATCGAGGAGAGAAGGGTAGATAGAGAGAGGAGGACAGAGAATCCAAAGAAGCTCCAGGCTCTGAGCTGTCATTGCAGAACCTGATGCAGGGCTCGAACTCTGGAACCTCGAGACCATGATTCAAAGTTGGATGCTCAACCAATTGAGCCTGTACATGTCAGGTGCTTCTACACATGGCATTTTTAGAAGTAGTATTAAGGGGTGCCTGGGTGGCTCAGTCAGTTATGTGTCTGACTCTTGGTTATGATCTCACGGTTTCATGAATTCAAGCCCTGCATCAGGCTCTGTGCTGTCAGCACAGAGCTTGGGTTTCACTCTCTCTCTCTTTCTCTCTTCCCCGCCCCCGCCACCCCCCTCACGCTATATTTCTCAAAATAAATTAAAATAAACTTAAATAAATAAAAGTAGTATTAAAATGTATTTAGCTTGATTTATTTTTCTTGTTTTAGAACATTAAATCACAAAATTAATACATTCTTGGGGGAAAAAATGATACAGAAAAGTATAGTGTGAAATTCATACCTCTTTCCTATGTGACCACAGTTAGGCATGTATCCTTGCAGGATTTTTCCCTGCCCATATAAGCGTATTTATTATATGTATATAATTTTTTAACATGTATACATTACTTTAAATTATCAGTTGATACATATGATTCTACAGCTTTTTAACTCAAGAAGCATGAGATGGCTTTTTATATTGAAATTCTTGAAATGTGTATTTCAAAAGTAATACATATTTTCGGTAGAATTCTGAGTTAGCAGTCAGCACAGAGTCCCACGCAGGGCTCGAACCCATTTTTATGTATAACCCCTATTTTTATGTATAACACGGGGGCGCCTGGGTGGCTCAGTCCATTAAGCATCCAACTTTAGCCCAGGTCATGATCTTGCAGTTGGTGGGTTCGAGCCCCGCATCCGGCTCTGTGCTGACAGCTCAGAGTCTGAGGCCTGTCTTCAGATTCTGTATCTCCCTTTCTCTCTGACCCTCCCCTGTTTGTGCTGTCTCTCTCTGTCTCTCAAAAATAAATAAAAACATTTAAAATAAAAAAAATTTTTTTAATTAAAAAATAAATAAATATAACAGATTTGTCTGTTTGTAAGGAATCCCAGGGTCAGAAGTAGCCTTGGTCATCTGATCTAATCATCCTTTGAATGTTTAATGGTTTTTCTATTGAATTCCAACCTACTTTTAATCCATTAATGTCAAGGAACCAAGCTCCTGGGACATACCCATTTATGTTTTCAAATTGTTTAATTCTTAGAACATTTCAGGAACTACACTAAATGGTTGATGATGTTTTTATCTCTGGAGAAGAGAATCTTTTCGTGGAAAATTTATCTTACTGAATTGTTATTTATATAAATAAAGGAGGAAAAAATATTTCCTTAGATATATCTCTGTCTGTTCTTTTGGCAGCCCAGTATAAGTTCTCTTTAACATGATGCCACTTCAAATATATGTAGACACCCATCATTGTAATACAGACATACTGTGAACCTTTCATGGAGGACATTGCTAAGTGTAAAATTAAAATATTGGTATTTTGCCCCACAAAAGTCATTTTCAGATCAAAATGGCACTGCACCCTAAAACGGTGCTTATTACATACTTTCTCTTGACTGAAATTATCAGGAACTGTTCTGCTTCATGGTTTTTCAGGATTCTTGTTTGTAGTTGTTATATGTAGTGTTTTTTTGTTTTAATTTTTAACCTATTAGAATTAAAACAAGCTTCAGAAAGTAAGCTTTTAGAAATACAGACTGAAAAGAACAAACAGAAAGATGATTTGGCTCTTATGGAAAATTCAGACAAGATAAAGGCCATAAATCAAAACCTACAGATGGAGATACAAATTACTACAGTCATTCAACATATGTTCCAGGTAAGTAACATTTATGTAAATTAAGAGAGCAGGTAAAGAACTTTTTATTTATTTAAAAAAAATTTTTTTTAATGTTTTTTATTTATTTCTGAGAGAGAGAGCGTGAGCAGGGGAGGGTCAGAGAGAGAGGGAGACACAGAATCTGAAGCAGGCTCCAGGCTCTGAACTAGCTGTCAGCACAGAGCCCGACTTGGGGCTCGAACCCATGAACTATGAGATCATGATCTGAGCCAAAGTCGGCCGCTTAACCGACTGAGCCACCCAGGCACCCAGGTAAAGAACTTTTTAAAAATGATTGATTCTCTTATTTTCAGATTAGCTTTCAGTTAGTCTTTGATCTGAAAAAGTCATGAATTTAATACTAAATATTAGTCTGCTTACATATATTTGGAATTTATGTGTATTTAATATTTAAGCCTTTGATTTTTTTATTACGGTTAGATCTTAGGCATTTATTAGTGGAATGATTTTAGCAGCTCTGTGGATGCAGAATGGTATAATGGTGGAAATCATTAGACTCGAACTTGTGAGAATGGGGAAAACATGGATTGGGGTGATGTGAATCTAGAATTATGATTATGACTGCAGCTTAATAGTTGCGGACCTTGAGCAAATTATTTAAGGTTTTTAAACATCACTTTCTCTGTTTAGAGAGGTTATGAAAACTAAAGATAATTCATATTAATCTGTTTAGGATAATGTCTCTAAATTATCAATAATACTTTATCAGTAAATGCTGGTAGTTATTATGCCACCTTTAAATTTCTTTTCACCTCTTAAATTTTATGTGTGCCTTTATTCTAGAGGGTTTTCATTACTTTTGAATTATGAAATATCTCAGAATTGTTGAGATGAAATGGCTTAAATTACCATTTTTCAATTATGAAGGTACACAGTTTAAACTGCCTATTATGTGTCAAAGCAAATGCTTCTTATTGTAAGCCATATCCTTGTAGAATATGAGTTCTTATATCTGACCATAAGAAATTTGTCCTCAGATCTTAAACCTACTTTTTAGTAATAGTGGGTTACTCAATTAGGAGTTAAGGAAGTCCCCTAGACTATCCTCAAGTGGAGGATTGCCTCGTAAGGACAGGATTATTTTAATTTTCTTTGCTACATGTTCCTATTGCTTTGAGACTTCTATTATTTTGCCTTTTAAAATTTTTATTCATATACTCTTAGTTAAGTCTTATTTAATGAAATCATTGATTTGTTAAGCAGAACATAACTTTGGCTACCTTAGGAGCTCCTGCCCCTAATGGGTTTAGTCATATTTGAATGCTTACTTCCACTTACCTTTGTAATTTAATTGAATTTATAAACCTTAGCCTAAAGGCATGAAAATGCTATAGATAGGCCAAGTTTTATATATTTTTGTACCTAATAATTTAACACTTAGATTCTAAAATGTTTTAACAGAATTTCAATCGGTAACTTGCTGTCATTGAGCCATAGTTTTAAAATAATCAATAGGGCATACCAGTTTATGCTTAACTATTTTTCACTGGAGAAGTGCAAAATAACTCTAAATTAGAGATGCAGTCTTTTTCTTTAAAGTAGACTACCATAACAAAAATTCTTAACAAGTAAAAACTATCCACAAAAACTGATAAAGCAGAAAAAATTGTTATAAACCTTGTAAATATTCCTTAGCATTATGGGGATCAAGGCCAGAGTCTTACTGAAAGTGGAAATGAGTATGTGTACAAGAATGTATTTTTTCATAGAGTAAATGCTCACACCTGGTTTGGTACATATTTCATAACATCAGTAAAAGGATTTTTTTAAATCTTGTTAAATTTTTTTTTTTTTTTTTTTTTTTTTTTTTTTTTTTAATGTTTTATTTATTTCTAGGAGAGAGAGACAGCGTGAGCAGGAGAGGGTCAGAGAGAGAGGGAGTCACAGATTGAAACAGGCTCCAGGCTCTGAGCTGGCAGTCAGCACAGAGCCCGACGCGGGGCCCGAACCCACGAACCGCGAGATCATGACCTAAGCGAAAGTCGGACGCTTAACCGACTAAGCCACCCAGGCGCCCCTAAATTTTTTTTTTTTAATATTTTTATTTATTTATTTCTAGGAGAGAGAGAGAGAGAGAGACAGCGTGAGCAGGGGACGGTCAGAGAGAGAGGGAGATACAGACTCTGAAATAGGCTCCAGGCTCTGAGCTGGCTGTGAGCACAGAGCCCGATGCAGAGCTCGAACCCACAAACCGCGAGATCATGACCTAAGCGAAAGTCGGGCGCTTAACCGACTAAGCCACCCAGGCGCCCCTAAATCTTATTAAATTTTTAAAAATACTTAGAACTTTAATATAAAAAAAACTTTTTTTTTTTTTTTTTTTTTTAATTACAGAACCTCATTTTAGGAAGTAAAGCCAACTGGGCAGAGGATTCTGCACTTAAGGAGATTGTTCTACAGCTTGAGAAGAATCTCACCATGATGTAATAAGAATTCTGCTGTTATTTTTTGTTCCATCTTTCATATATTATTTAAATAGCATATATCAAGTAATTTTTTTAATGTTTTTGAAAGTATTTTAATACTGCAAATTTTTTGTAGCTTAACACTATAACATGGACTCTATTGTTTTAAATATGATAATTAAAGTGACTGGCATACTCCAAAAGAATCTGAAGATTTTAGCCTTGCAAGGTTCCCAAAAGACATCTAATCTAGCTTTCCACAGAATATGGACTTTTTTTTACAACATTCCTGGCAATCCCAACCCTCACTTGGAATTCCTTCCTTCCTTCCTTCCTTCCTTCCTTCCTTCCTTCCTTCCTTCCTTCCTTCCTTCCTTACTTCCCTCCCTCCATAGTCTCAAGTTTTTATTTAAATCCTAGTTAGTTAGCACACAGTGTAATATTAGTTTCAGGAGTAAAATTTAATGATTTATCATTTACATACAGCATCCAGTGTTCATCACAACAAGTGCCCACTTCAGTACTCATCACTCATTTAACCCATCCTCCCAACTGCCATCATTTGGAATACTTCTGTGCATTTGTCAGTCAACTAAAATATTAGAAATATTAGAAAAGGATATCTACAACAATAAGTTGTATTTTATTCAAATAAATCTCATATTTATCTCCCCACAGATTCTTTTTTCTCTCTTAATACATAGATAAAATTGACAAAACACTGTGTAAGTTTAAGGTATACAGGGGGCTGATTTGACCACCATGGCATTAGCTAACATCTTCATCATGTTGCATAATTATTTCTTTTTTCTATGGTGAGAACATTTAAGATCTAGTCTCTTAGCAACTTTGAAGCATATAATATTGTTAATTATAGTCACAATGCTGTGTGTTAGATTTCCAAAAACTTACCCATCTTCTAAATGCATGTTTGTGCCCTGTGAGCAACATCTCCCCCAGTCCCCCACACCCCATCAACATCTTTAAATAGAGATCCAAATACAGCACCTCACCTTGGAAAAATAAAACAGAAAAACATATCCAAAGTGCTAACTCTTGTGATTGTTGTAGAGTAATTGTGACTTTTTATTTAAAAACACACACACACACAAAACATTATTTATTTTTGTGAGAGAAGCAAACAGGGGAGGGGCAGAGAGAGAGAGACCCAAGCAGGTTCCGCACTGTCAGCATGGAACCTGACACGGCTCTATTCTACAAACTGGGATCATGACATGAGCCAAAATCAGATGTTCAAACTACTGAGCCACCCAGGTGCCCCAAGTGTGACTTTTTAAAAATTTTTTGTTTTAATGGTTATTTTTGAGAGGGGGGGAATGAGTTGGGGAGGGGCAGAGAGAGAGGGTGACACAGAATCCGAAGCAGGTTCCAAGCTCTGAACTGTCAGCACAGACTCCAATGTGGGGCTTGAATTCACAAGCCCTGACTGAAATCAGGATCTGAGGCAGATGTTGGATGCTTAACCAACTGAGCCATCCAGGCCTCCCCCAATTATGACTTTTTAAATTTTGTATTTCTATATCATGTATTACTTTCATAAGTTAATAATAAAAAGAGTAAATGTTACTTTGTATTAAAAAATAGAACTTCTTGGGGCACCTGGCTGACTCTTAGTAGAGCATGCAACTCTTGGTCTTGGGGTCATGAGTTTAAGCCCTACATTGGGTGTAAAGATTACTTTAAAAAATATAAATAACCTAAAAAATAGAACTTGCCATCTTGTATAGCATCCATTCTTTTTTTTTTTTAAGAAAAAAAAAAGAGAGAGAGACAGAGAGAGAGAACCCCAAGCAGGCTCTGCACTGTCAGCACAGAACCTGATGTGGGGCTGGAACTCCCATACCTCAAGATCATGGCCCAGGCTGAAATCAAGAATCAGACTCTCAACCCCCTGAGCTACTCTGGTGCCCCCCATTCCATTTTCTTTGAAAACTCTAATTGAGGGGCACCTGGGTGGCTCAGTTGAATAAGTGGCTGACTGTTAATTTTGGCTCAATTTATATTTTTCTTTAAAAAAAATTTTTTTTAATGTTTTATTTATTTCTAGGAGAGAGAGACAGCGTGAGCAGGGGAGGGTCAGAGAGAGAGGGAGTCACAGACTGAAACAGGCTCCAGGCTCTGAGCTGGCAGTCAGCACAGAGCCCGACGCGGGGCTCGAACCCACGAACCGCGAGATCATGACCTAAGCGAAAGTCGGACGCTTAACCGACTAAGCTACCCAGGTGCCCCTCAAGTTATATTTTTCTTATGGAAAAGCATTATTCTGGAAAATACTTTTCTGATACAAAGAATCAGCATCATCTGAAAACCTTTTTGCATTTTCCTGGGTTCTTATTCCTGTGTGTTCCCTTCTAAAGCTCAACTCCGAGAGAGAAGTTTCATTATTTTTTCGTAAAGTGCTGAATAATAACAGTGGCTTGTCATAAACATTGATATCTTAGGTCCATGATCACTGGATGACATGAGCATTCACTGTAACATTCTCATGGCTTACATGGCCAAGTAAAATTGCAGAAGCACTTTTAAAGTTTCTACTTAGAGGAAGTGTACAGTATTTCCACCAAGGCTCCATTCACCATGCCAAACATCACTGGAACAGGAAAGTCTACTTCTCCCACAGCAAGGGAAAGCTAGGTTTCAGAGTGGGGGGAAGAAAACGGGTATCTGCTGGAAAGAATACAGTCCACCACAGTCTGCCATGTTAAATATTAACTTTCCTTTTCCATGTGAAAGGCACAACACATTTCCCAAGGAAGTTAATAGTGTCATCCAGTCATAACAGTTTCCAAGTTCAGGATCTCTTGATAGTCTTTCCCATCAGGTCAAGATGTGGCTCTTCATCATCTGGAGATGTATAAACTGGAAAGACAAATTCGTTTGTTTCACATAGCCAGCAAACAATAGTGGACAAGGTTAGCAATTCTGAAATCCTGCTTGGCAAATGATAGGAGGTGCCCCTTCCTAAGGTGAGGGAACACCTCTTGATTGGCCTCTGGTGCTGTTCGCTGGAAGAAGTTCCTTTTTTGACTCTGCCCTTTGCTAGGTTCTCCCTTTGCATTGGTTAACATTGGCCATATCCGAAGAGGACATTGGAGAGTATGTCCTGAGCAGCTTTCTTTGTTGGGAATTCAAATATTTTACTTTTACATCTGGCAGTCTTTAAATTTGGACCAGTGATGCTTTTTTTTTTTTTTTAAGTTTATTTCTTAGAGAGAGAGAGAGAAAGAGAGCGAGCAAGTGAGGGAGGGCAGAGAGAGAATCCCAAGCAGGCTCTGCACTGTCTGAGCAGAACCCAGTATGGGGCTCAGACTCACAAAGCATTAGATCATGACCTGAACTGAAGCCAGACTCAACTGAGCCACCCATGCACCCAGTGCTTTTGTTAATACAGACTTTTAAGTGTGGTTGGTGATGGTCACAGTTGTTTTGGTTGGTTGGTTGGTTCATCTGTGTCAGAGGTCAACAAACTGGCTTACTGGCCTCCTGTTTTTGTAAATAAAGTTTTATTGAAACAAAGCTATGCCCATAGATTTACATATTATCTGTGGATGTTGTCCCTCTACACAGGCATAATTGAATTGAACTGAGTAGCTACAAGAGATTATATGTCCAGCACCCTATTTTTCTTAGAGTCAACTGACTTAAAAAACCAGTTGACCTGTAGACCATTTTTAATTATGATTTGTCTGATTTCTTCGTAGAAGTTTAAGTAGCTTGTTTGACCTCTGTATTCCATTAAACTAGAAGTTAGATCTGCTTTATTAAATGTAGTTTCCATTTTTTTCTGAAGTTTCAAACTTTTATCAGGAAAATTTAGAAGATATGACTAGGTACTTCATACTGCATTACATCAGAAGGCTGTCATGCATGGTTTTGCCTAAGAGGTCTACAGCCAATGTCAGACACAGTGCACATGGAATAAGAAAGGAGTCAAAGACCTAGAGATAGGAACATTAAGAATACATAATACAAGGGAGACCTGGCTGACTCAGTCAGTAGAGCATCCAACCCCTGATATAAACTCAGGCAGTGATCTTGTGGTCATGAGGTTGAGCCCTGTGTTGGCTTCACTCGCAGGGCATGGGGCCTGCTTGGGATTCTCTGCCTCCCTCTCTCTCTGCTCCTCCGTTGCTCACACTTGCTTTCTCTCTCTCAAAATAATTAAACATTAAAAATAAAGAGAAAAAAACACCCATAAGGGCCACCTGGATGGCTCAGTTGGTTGGGTGTCCTACTTTGGCTCAGGTCATGATCTCACAGTCTGTGGGTTTGAATCCCACATTGGGCTCTGTGCTGACACCTAGCTCAGAGCCAGGACCCTGCTTCAGATCCTGTGTCTCTCTCTGCACTTGCCCCGCTCTCTTTCTGTCTCTGTCTCTCAAAATAAAGACATTAACACTTTTTTTATTTCAGGGGCACCTGGGTGGCTCAGTCGGTTGGGCATCCGACTTCAGCTTAGGTCATGATCTCACGGTTTGTGGGTTCAAGCCCCACATCGGGCTCTGTGCTGATAGCTCAGAGCCTGGAGCCTGTTTCAGATTCTATGTCTCCTGTCTCTGACCCTCCCCTGCTCACGCTGTCTCTATCTCTCTCTCAGAAATAAATAAAACATTAAAAAAATTTTTTAATGTTTTTTTTATTTCAAAAAAATAAAGAAAAAAGAAACAATACACGAAGCAGAATCAGTTGGTGTACTCCAGGTCCATGAAAATAGCCAAATAGCATTGAGAGTGTAGATAAAAATCGCAGTCTGAGTGGGGTAAGTAATCAAATGATCTGATGACAGATCTAATGGTGGCTGATAGAAAATGAGCAGTAGTAGGAAGAGAAGACAGGATTTGGGGGTTAAGGCTATTTGCTGTTTCCACTTTAACTACTTTTATCATCTTCATCCTAGAGAGAATTAATCCAGAAGGGAGTTGGATGAGAATTCTGTGAAGGAGTTTGAATGTCAACATTTAGAAATGAACCCACAGTAGAGAAAAGTCATTTTTTCTTGGCCGACTCCCCCAAACAAAATCCATACCAATATGACCAGTAATTTGCACTGCATTTGACATTTTATGAATTTATTACCAGGTATTCCCAGGAAATTGCTGTGTATATGATATGACGAATTGGAAACTTTATTATTTTTTTAATGTTTATTTATTTTTGACAGAGAGAGAGAGCATAAGATGGGGAGGAGCAGAGAGAGAGGGAGACAGAATCCAAAGGAGACTCCAGGCTCCAAGCTGTTAGTGCAGAGCCTGACCCAGGGCTTGCAGCCAGGAGCCATGAGATCATGACCTGAGCCAAAGTTGGATACCAAACCAACTGAGCCACCCCGGTGCCCTGCAAAGTTTATTTTTAAAAC